CATAAGGAAACACTAGATAGCCCACAAGGAAACAAAAGAACAATAGAAATAGCTCATAAACCTGAAAAATTGGTACGTCCGTCCGTCTGTCCATCTGTCAGTCTGTCAGTCCGTCTACAAAACTGGATCCCGCGATAAAGCAAAAAGTACAGAAAATATTTTTATGAAACTTGATATATGGATGGATGGCAGTATGGAGATTCTGCACGTCTTTTTCTGTCATTCCTATGTTGATAATTCTGGTTGCTATGGCAACAAATAGACTGAAAATATGGCAAATTTTACACATAAACTGGATCCAGTGATAACGCAAAAAGTACTGGAAATATTTTAATGCAACATGACATATGGGTAGATTGCAGAGTATGCATTTTTTATCTTTTCTTCATATTTTGAAAAAATAGGCTTAAAACATGATAAAATAACAATATTTGTGATTAGTCAAAAAGAGCTGAAAATGTTTATGAAATTGTATCTTTATTTCAAGAGTTATCTCCTCTTTAAGAAGTTTGCTTTTAAAAATATTGTATTTTGGTAACAGGGATGTTTCAAACATTAACTTAAGAGTGTCCTTCAGTCCGTCTGTCTGTCTGTTCATAAAAACTGTTTCCTGTGATCATTTTTAAAGAACTTTTCCAAGAAATTTACTTAAAATAGAGACAAATTGAAACATTAGTGAAAGGCCAATGGCCCTTCAGAATATTGCTGGGGTTCTAACCGGTAGGGGACTTATGGTTTGCTTGCAATACTATGATAATTGCTTGTTAGATATGGTAAGTAAGTCTCGGATATATTAAGGGGGCATATTACTCAGTGCTTTAAAATGTTCTTGGACATAGGCGTGAAAAATACATCTTTTTGAAAGTCAATATTTTAATTTTATGTATACATTTTCGGATTGTTTTCTCTAGAATTCTGCAAATTCGATTTTGTAATTTTATATTCAATATATTTAATTTGTGTTTTCTTTTCCCATATATTACAATAATAATAAAAATAGTAAGAAGGTATGCATTATGAAATAAAGTGCGATATTCCGTATTCAAAAAGAACTTTATTTGCTTTAATAAATTAACTTTAGATATCTTTTTTTTAAACACACCTTACATACTAAGCAGCTTTTGTAATATTTCATTGTGAAGAGTTAATTCTTCTGGAATCTTTAGTTTTTGACTACTACCTATTAGCATCTATTTAGACATGTTAGGGTGCAAAAGCATGCTATTTCATTTACACCATTTAATAATTCTATTAGAATCTGGATAAAGTGTTATCCCTCAGAATAATCACAACAAACTTACATGAAAATTGAAGACTCGGTTTAATTGAGAGACTATGAAAAAGAGAAAGACCTCTCACGACCGCACAAGCTTGAGCGGTCTTCAATGTTCGATACTTAAAAGTGCTTTATCAGACTGTATTGTAGTTTTTCTTCTATAACTGATATGTCATCTCCAGACTTATTCTATGTTGTGGAACCATCTCGCAAATATTTGAAAGATCAATTACATATAGAAATAACAGCAAAGAACCAAGAATTGAGCCTTTGGAACTCCAGAGGTAAATTTTTGTACGTCGGATTTAAAGTCTCCAATTTAGATGTTATGCTTACGATTATACAAATAACAAATGAAAACGTTTTAATGATGTTACGAAAAAATACAGTTTGAGTTTTTCACAGTCAACTTAATCAAACGCCTTTTACATGTCTAAAATATTGTGCCGATAAATTTGCAACTATCAACATATTTAAACCAGGAGTCTATCAAATCAATAAGGGTCGTATTGCATGAATGATTCTTTCGAATACCTAATTGCTTATAATGTAAATTATTTGTTTCCTGGAAAAAAGCTATAATACATGACTAGCTATATGACGTTCCAAAGTCTTAGTTATTAAAGACAGAATAGAAAAAGGTCAATAGTTGCTCGGTTTATCTGTCAATCCAGTCAATTTGAAAATCGGAATATTTTTTTTAATTCCTCAGGGAAATATTCCGTGTCCAATGCTTTTATTTATTTTGCATTGGGGTTACAAAGATACCGCATGGTTTTATTATTTATAGACTATTTTTATCCAGTCCAGTCCAGTCTAGTCCAGTGGCTTTATTTGCATCTAGTCTTTAATGAAGATTTTCACTTTAAATGCAGAAATATTTTCAAATTCAATTTTAAATTTCTTCCACTTAAAGTTTTAACCTAACTTATTCTTCAATATTTTGAATTCGTCGTGATATAACTGTACTTTTTGTCAAAACTAGAAATATCAACACAATAATTGTTCTATTTATTTATAATATTAGCATGATCATTAAATGTAGTGTCGCAGTAAGTCTTTCAGGAATATGTACATTTTCTTTTTTTCTCAAGTTTATTAACTTCATTAAGTTTTCGGATAACGGGAATCTCTGATTACACCTTTTACCTTACTATTAAAGAATATTATGTAGACATTATGAACACTTACCAAGCCAAAACTCACTGTGTAAATTTCCGAATCCATTTTCATACTGAGAGAAGTTCCTGTAGAAATCTACTGAACCATTAAATCTGTACTGAAACACCTGAAGAGATTGATAGAAACAATAATAAAATATCTCTTAGTATTTCATAATACATATTATAACATGGTTCCATTTAAATACATAATAATAAATCTTTATACCTTAAAACAAATAGTACTCAAAATGATGTTTAATAACATAAATAACTTAAATTGAATAGGCAGATAAAGGCATCAATTATTTAATTTATTTTACATTTCAAATAAACAATAATTTTATTGTGTAAGAAAATTATTCATGTCCAAACTCAACATCTACAAATATAACGCAATATATATTATAAAAGCTAACCGTCCAACCGCCACCATCTGTGGTCATGTCACAATAGACATCCATAGTTTCATGAGTTTTCCATGTACTTATTGTATAAATTCCGTCGCCCTTATGTTCCCCATATCGCAGAATATCAGCACAATCTGTAGAGTCTACAATTCACAGGTATGTTAAGTTACTCAAAGTCGTAATGCTAATACACCACATTTCTTGAATCCAGTAACACTGGGAATAATAGGGAGGGGAGAATTAAATGACTTGATATAGTTAAACAAATGAGTATGGCGACGGCTGAGCCTCGGTAAAATCATTTTTAACATAGAAAATTAACAAATATTTCCTATATCAAAACAAGACATTATTTATGATATGAACGGTACCTTGTTTAAATAACAATACCACGTCTGTTCTTCTACGTGTTTCAGTTTTTGAGAATATGTTAAAGTTGTAGTAAATAACACGAGAAATTGTAATTAATATAATAAGAATGAACCAAAAGCAAAATCATAATATTAACATCTTTTTTCATAGAAGTTCATACAAAATCTTGTAGGAATATCTGTAGCGTAAAATGTTAATAGATGTAAAGTAAGTGAAACGAGCAGTTTCTAGATAGAGAGCCACGCGAACTGAAATAGTTAGTTTCATGCAACGAAAATAGATTCGCGGCGGCCACGACATTCGCAAAAATGAACCGATAATTCGATATACAATCACGAATTCTTAAATCAACCGATTAAGCATCTGTTCTGTAGAGAGAAAAAAGTAAAATAGTTGATCATGAAATTGAATATCCTTTCTCGATCTGTGCATATACACTTTTATTTCTTGTCAGGTATATGAACGCTATAAGAAACTGTGCTTGAAACTTGATATAACGTTTTAGTGTGGCTGCAACAGCAGATGTCAAGTGGTGTATAGCAGCTGTAAAAAGGTTGTCCCATACTTCACGCAAGTGTTGTTATATTTTTCTGGTTCCTTCATGATCATTGATTTCAGCAATTTTAAGTGTTGACAATTGAGTACCGCTCAAGTCGGTGCTAGGAGCTTGAGGGATGTATCACTTTCTTATTATTTCTCATTTAAAAAATCAATCAAACTGAATCTGCAATTTTCATATACATGTAATTTTGTTGTGAATTATGCGTCCGGTTATCATCTCTTTCACAGATTTAATTGCTATCTAAAAATTACTTGTTTTACTTACTTTACATCTGTAAAGAAAGTTTACTCTACAAATATTTTCACAAGATTTTATATGGACTTCTACGATAAAAATGTCAATATTACCTAATGATGATATATTGATTGTAAGAAGAATATCATCACGAATAAATCATTTTTCTTGGAATTATCAGTTTAAGGAAACATCTACAGTAGTTACTTCTTGATAAATCGTATTGATATTTACATTGGTCACGAAAAATTACAAATTAAAAACATAAAAAACTGGCAGAAGGTTAAACAAAGGGTACTCAGTTCGAACTTTAAAAACAAAATATTGTTTTTAGAAATTTTGTTGTTTTTTTAGGGGTTTTTTTTCGTAATTATATCGATCAATCAAAGCAGTTTCAAGTTGATGTCTCCAAAACGTTTTCAGCTTTTGTACCGAGTAAAATTAAAAGTAAAATTAAAAGTGAAATATTACAGTTAGCAGTAACTCAAAAAGCACATTTAAAAGAGTAACTGTTTAAAAAAAATGTGCTTGCCTCTAAACATTAATCAATACTTTCCATTGACTATTTTTATTTTTTTACTAGGGCAATAACTCAAAAACATCCAAAAAAATTCGATGCACATAAACAATATCCCCATATGTGATCTATCAGTTGATGACATTTAAAGAAATACTTCATGGTCTAAATACTTTCCGTAGATAGGAACTATCTATCTCTGAAGTGTTTGATTGATAAAGCCGATACCTTAAATAATGCACCAAAATAAGAAATATAGGTTGACGGACGTCTGCTGGGGTTATTTGTTTGATCTTCTTTGATCTCGCAACCTCTTTACATCCAATTAAGAATACTGTTTGTACAAAGGAAACAGAGATTCATGCAATAAATTGTGCACCTGCGTAAATGCGGAAGGACGGACGTCCCTACGGACAACGCAAAATTCATATGCATTCGTCTTCGACGGGACAATAAAAATTATACATACTATGCTGGCAATTGTTTCCACTGTACCCTTGAGTACAGGCACAAACATAACCATTCACTCGATCACTACATGTTCCATGTATACATGGATTTGATAAACATTCATCTATGTCTGAAAGAAAGAAATATTGCGTTCATACTTGTTCAATCATACAAGATATTTTGGCAAGACTATTGTGTATATGGCATCTTGTGATTTCGCCCATTTGATCTTTAATTTGTTTGATGTTGCAATATTTTCACTAATTGTAACCCTCCCGTAGAAAATGACGCATGATGTTAGGTTTGCTTTGACGTCGGTCTCAAACTTAATAGTTTCTGAGCCGTGCTCATTATTGAAGGCTGTGGTATGTTCTGTTAAATGCGCTCTTACTTGTTGAAATGTTTTATCAAATTTTCTAATTTTTTATCTTTATGAAAATTAATTAATGTGTTTGTTTAATTAACAAAAGCAAAAAAATACAATTATGCCTATACATGTGTAAATAGTAAGTGCTCAGGTAAAAGCAAATACAATTGAAATATAATCATTTTTAACGGAATCAATCAGCATAATTTTATTATGGACAAATTATTTATCTAAAGACATAAAGAGTACATATTAAGTATTCCACAACAACTCATGATATGGACAAAATAAAAGTTGTCTATACCATCAAACAACAAATTTTCACTGTTTTCATCCACCTTTAACATTTTAGTGATATAAACACGTAAGAAAGGGGAGAAGACATCAAGGTCAAAGAATGTTCTACTCGGTTGCGATAACGCAGATTTAAAGATATACGCTTCAGAAATGAGAGCGATCTACAACCTGATAAAGTGATTGTAATCTTTTCAAACTTGAAATCATGCTATATGGAGCAGAACAAAAAACGTATAAAACATTACAGTAAATACCGTGTTGACAATTGCTTCCATTGTATCCTTGATTACAGGTACAAACATAACCATTAACTCGGTCAATACATGTTCCATGTACACATGGATTTGATAAGCATTCATCTATGTCTGAAAAAAATGATATATTGGGTTCAAGCTTGTTCAATCATACAATTTAATTTGTTCATTTTGGCAAGATTGTTGGGTATGTGGCATCTTGTAATTTATTCAATCTGACCTTTAATGTGTTGAATCTTCCATTATTTCCTCTTTTAAGTGTAGTCCTCCCGTACAAAATGATGCCTCTTAGGTTTGTTCTTCACGTCTGATGCAGACTTCAAATTTTCTGATCTGTGCTCATTATTGAATGCTGTGATCTGTTCTGTTAATTGCGCACTTGTGTGTTGTATTTGAATATAAAAGTTTCTAATTTTCTCTTGAAAAAATTGTGATTGTTTGATAAATATATTTCTTAAAGGGACATTATTTATATGCATACGTTTAAAGGTGAGATAGCACAGGTAAAAGAAAAAACTTCATATTTTGCCTGTTCTGTTTATTGCTCTCTTACCTGTTGAATTGTTATATCATAATTTCTATTTTTTTGTCCTAATGAAAACTCAATGAATGTGTTTATATCATAAATATATTTCTCAAAGTGACAAAGTGTTTAAAGTGACATTATACCTGTGTCTATGGTGAATGCACAGGTAAAAGAAAAACAACTACATATTTTGTTACAGTCCTCAATTTTACATTTTACTTTCATGTATAATCGAAAGCCATAAGCATGTGACTCAGGACAATATATTTATAGCTTATTAGTAACCATTACATCAGTAAAACGTTTAAAATATATATAAAACAATCTTAACGCAAGTAATCTGCATAATTTCACTTCGGACAAATTATTTATCTAAAAGCATAAAGAGTTCAAATTTAATATTTAACAATAATTAAAACTAAAGATAATTAAAAAAAATCATCCATCACATTAAACAACAAATTGTCACGGTTTTCGTAAATTTATGAAAGAGGGTTAAAGGTGATATACATACCAAAAGGAAGAAAACTTCAGTCTATAAAAAATGTTCTACTTTATTCAATAACGAAGTTTAAAAGATATACACTTAAAAACAATTTGAGAAATGAGGGCGATTACCCATCAGATAAAGCGGTACTTATCGTTTCAAACTTCAATCATGTTATTTGGAACAGTAAAAAAGGTCAGAAATCGTTATAGTACATACCGTGTTGACAATTGTTTCCATTGTATCCTTGATTACAGACACACACGTAACCATTAACTCTGTCACTACACGTTCCATGTACACATAGTTTAATAGACATTCATCAATGTCTTAAATATATAAAAACATGACAATAAAATCATGCGGTGGTGTTACATATAATCACTACATTTAAAATGAATTTAACAATTGAAATATTCACTGAGACAAAACCGAAAACGTTAATACAAGTAATTGTTCTAAATAGATTATTTCTTTTATTTATTTTTAATATTATGATAATCCAAGAGTAAATGCCGATCTAGTTTATCATGTATATCTGGTTTGTTTCTAGTTTTTGGACGTTATTTACTATTTATGCTTGCGCAGCAAAAAAGGGGAAAAGAAATTTAAAAAATTAACAGGCAACAATCATAATGAATTATATTGTTGTATGTATCAAAGTTAAAAAAAAGAAATAACATAATATAAATATGATCGTGTATATTCTGAAAATAAATCAAAATATAAATGTAGTAGTTTATTATATATTTGTTCGAAATGGACAGTCTATTAAATATCCAAATAGTTTAGTAATAAAATTAATAGCATAAATTCAATTGACTAGCATATTGATGAATCATGTGTTGTTTTTTTTTCTTTATTTTATAAAGATTAATGTCATAGTCTGGATCATATTAAATCAGAAAAGTGAATGTATTGTATGTTCCAGCACACTTTTTAATTCAATTAATACGATATCACCTTTGTCGCATATACTTCCGGTAAAGCCTGCAGGACATTCACATCTGAAGTTATCACCGTCAGATTTGCAAGTACCATGGTTACAAGGATTTGACTGACATGGATCTATAAAATAACAAATAAGAAAATAGCACGCTCAGTGCTTTGATACTAGGAAAGGCTGGAACAGACAAAATAGAAATAGAATATGAAAGCAATGTCCCCGCACATCCTTTACTTCAAATTCAATCATTTCTACCAATAATTAAAATCTATTTTACAAAAATCGGATTGCAATTCAATTTATATAAAAACAAGCGATAAAGTAACGGGATACATTAAAGACACAATTGTAATGGGAAAAAATGAAAATAAATGCTACTTGATGACAATAAATAGCTAAAATATGTCATTACAAAATTACCAAACTCATAATGATAAGTCATAAACTTTCATATGTGATTTCTATAAATACAAAATGTTTCTGATTTTTAAGTGCATTTTAATTATGTTTTTGTATATGTTTAAAGTAAATATCATTTTTTTAAAACTCATTATTGCTTAAGACGGATCTAAAATAATTTCAGCATCGATAAAAGAATAATTAATATGTGACTTTCTGCCAAAATGCACTTTATCCCCATATACTTTTTTTCAAAAGACACTCCCTTATGTGTACATATATAGACATCTGGGCTGTCAATAAAATTTAAGGAAAATCGACTGCTCAATATTGCACATTATACTTTTTTGCACTCTTAAAAGAAATCAATTATACCTATAAGCAGCTGAGCTGTCGTGCAATTTTTATTGCACAGATCTTCTAAACAACAAGAATCGCATATGTGTTGCTCGTGACTTCTTTTGTCCATGCTGACGTCACGTTTACCAATGATAGCCACGTGGTTACCTTCCACTGGTTTACAAGCCTAGAAAGAAAGACGATGTTCCTACTGCTGCTGCCGATAATGATGATGATGATGACTATTATGAAGAAATGATACGTAAAGTTATTGCTATGGAAATAAAATCAACAACGTTGAAGCTCCGTAGCATCGCCATGATTGCCTTGAGGACACCGTGAAGACGCCGTTAAGTAGGTATGTCATCAAAAATATCACATGTTTGATTGTGATCTCGCAGCTCTTTGTTTAACCCATGTGTCTCTAAGCGGCGTTCTCACGGCGTCCAAAGAAAGTTCAGAACGCCGAGGTGAGCGCAGTAAGATCGCAAACATCGCTGCAGCATCGCGACAGCATCACAGTGGCATCGAAACGCCGACCGACGGCGCGCGTTTTGAGCATGCTCAAAACGAACCCCGTCACTCGGCGTTCTGATAAGAGCGTAGTTGGATCGCAGTAAGGACGCCGTAGCAACTCAGAAGCATCTCCTACAACGCAACAGGAGCACCTCGAATACACAGAAGGATCGCTGAACCAAAGCCGTAATTAGCTACGGCGCTTGTACGGAGATAGTGCGACTTTACAGCACTTTCACGGCGACCATTGCGCACTCAATGCGATTCTTCTGCGTTCATCTGAAATTGGTGAATACGGTACAGTAAAATCCCTACTTTAGACCATTCCGGTATTAAAACAAACCTTCATTTAGACCAGTATTTAAAAGAACAGAATCGTCTGTTATTTACGTTAATGATAACATGACCCACAATTAAGATCATCCCACTTATCCACTTTAAATAGCACCGGTTTCTGCCCAAATTCATTGTTTTATTTATCTAACCCCACTTTTGAGACCACTAATATTCCAGTCAATACCCATTCAGATAACAAATTTATCGTTATTCATCTGCTTGAATTCTCTAATGCATGGCACTTGATGAAGCAATGTGTGAAAACTGTTGCGACTGGAAAATTGTATAAAGGTGAGAAAATAATTTTCAGATTGGTTTAATGTTACTTTCTGCACATGTATTTTGTGGAGAATTAATTTCTAAATTAATACGTGAATTATGTACCTTAAACAAGACCTATGAAAATTTAATCTATCTATTAAATATCTTCAATCTAATGGTCTTCTTATTATTATAACATCAGATTATAATAATATTTGAAGGTTATAATATAATTGTTTAAAACGTTTATACATGATAATTCAAATAGAGTGGTAATGAAATATATATGTCTTGATAATTATATCCACAATTAAGACCACCCGCTATTAAACCACTTGAGTTCCTTTGGTTGGCATAAAAGAGGGTTTACTGTATATATAGAACGTGTTTGCAAGTAAATGTCCTTTAAACCATGTATGATAATCGGCAGCAGGATGAAATACTGCTTACTTGCATGCAGGTGCAGCATGAACACGAATATTCAGAATGAGTAATCAAGTACGATTTCAGCGCAGTGTGAGCGCAGCGAGAGCCCCGTGTGAGCGCTGTCAAAGCGCAGTGGAAGCGCAAAGAACGCAGTAGAAGCCCAGCCCAAACGCAGACAATCGCCAATATAAACGCTGTGGAAGCTCCGTAGCAACTTCATGATCGCCGTGCGGACGCATTGAAGTCTTCATATCATCAAACATATCCGATTTTTCTTGTAATTTCGAGACGCTTTGTTAAATTTTACAGCGCTGTGCAAACGCATTAAAAGCGCAGTCTAGTGTGACAGGGCCTTTAAATCTAACAACGCCGTGCAAAGGCAGTGAACGCGCAGTCTAGAGTGACAGAGCATTTGCTTACTAAAGTGTCAATAGTTAAATGAAGATTTTGATATAAGACAGAAAATTATAGTATGAGTATATAACATTTTTTGTACGGAATATATATAAATGTCAGGGACAGTAGACACAACAAATAAATTTTTAGGTCAGAAACCTAATTTTCATTATGTCATTATAACAAATGAAATTGCAAAATGGCAAGAATTATTTATAGATAATGTAAAAATAATCGATAATTAATGACAAAAGTCTCACGTGTTTAGATATACAGCTACTGGTATACACAGTCTCTGAGAACATATTCTTTCCAACAATATTACACACCTGAAAAATTATATATCAATTGAAAGCTATCTATTGCAAGACCATATTAAAGAAAGCATATTATTCCTCTGAAAATTTCTCACAAAATGTACGAATTTCATAATAATGCTTTCGTTTTGGAACAATGGTGGATGATTCAATTATATCTGAGCAATTGTAGGACACATTTGATTATTTTTAAGGTACTTCTCAAAACCGTGTGATTTTACACTTCCGCGTATTACCTCGTGTGCCATAATTACTCGAAACCGGAACCATTTCCTTTTTCCATATTTGTATATTTTGTGTGTGTGTGCGTGCGTGCAAGCGTGCATGCGTGTGTGTGTCTCCATACGTTTAATACAAAAGAATAAGACCAAATTCCTTCGAACAATGGATTTAGAATGTAATTTTAGCTACAATTGTTAGCGTGCAGTGATTATAAACTTTAAGCATAGCATTGCAGCGTATTCATTTCTTATGTCATTCAGTCACTCATTAATTAATTCAACATTCATCTGTTCACAATTAAGTTAAAGATCACTTACTTCTCCAGTAGAGCAGAATTCAATATTATGACACTTCCCACTGTCGGTATGTAAAGGACAGTTATAGCATATAGGTCCCCTATGCTCTGGGTAACCTTGAACAAGAAAAAGATATTAATGCGTACCATAATGATATCATTTAAAACAGCATTTGAAAAACAAATGTAAAACAATATATATAAATACACTCTTTTTGACCCTTGTCACATTTAACATAAATATCGTATCTCCTTAAATCGTTCAGTCATATCGATGTTTTTGTACATAGGTTCAAATGTATCAACATCCAAATTCGTTCAAATGTATCAACATCCAAATTCGAAGAAATTTGTGTGAAAAAAGGGAAACTTGCAACAATTTTTGTGTCAGCCTGTCATGTCCGTTTTGGCATTTTGCTATTTATGAATTGACAATACTGTCAGAGACATCTAAATTGTAACCATAAGTATCACAAATAGGTTTTCATCAATTTGAAAGACGAAGTCTGTCATCAAGACAAAACATTTTTTTTATTATTTAGTTACCTTGTTGACTACAGCCATTGGCATTACAAAGATCTTTAGAATTGCAGCATTCAGAACATGTAACCCTCTGTCCATTTATACTATTGGTGAAATTGTTGCATACCTACATAGTTGCAAAAATAAAATAAAAACATTTCTGTATAAAGCAAAAATTGGTAGCAAATCTAGACAAGACTTGCATACGCAAATCTCTTATTTGCATTAGAAAAGGCAAACTTTTGAAAGCTCATAAATTATATAAGAAAATGCATTTATTTGCATATAAAAGAACAGCAGGTTTGAACAGACTGTGAACTGTAAACGGCGAAAAGATAGTTAATGTTTCATAGCGCCGAGCTTTAAATTTGAAAAATCGTAGCCAGAGGAGGCATTAGAAATACATTGAAGACACGAACAAAATCTAAACTGATATACATATATAGCAGGTGCAAAATACTGAACTGTTAAGGCAAGTTTCTTCCTTTAAAAGAAAGAAAACAAATTTTAAAAATGAAATGCTGCTATTTTTTTGCATTTTAGCTGTTGCTGTTTGATTATTTTTACACTAAATGTATTGACGGTCATATCCTTTTTTATCTTTTATCTCAAGTATATATGTTTCATCATATATATTTTCATTAAACGGTGAACATGTTAGCAATGCAATAGGTAACTGTTAAAAAGAAATTCAACCTTACCTTACTTGACAATATAATATTAAATAATTTTGTTCTCAAACTTGTCCAGAATTATCTTACCGTATTTGGCAGACAACCTAGGTTGTAGACAATTTCTCCAAACTCGTTCAGCACTTGTTCTACACTACAGGACTAAAACAAAGCAACCAAAACTATAATTCATAAATGAAAAAACAACATTTAACAGACTATTCAAGTAAGTATAAAGTGCATAGAGGAAATGTTATATTATTTCGATGTAGTAATTAATTTAAATCATTGACTTTTAATTCTGATTTTATCAAAATGATGAGGTATAAGAATTATATCTTACAAACTTTGAATTGAAAGGGGCGTCCGGGCCGAGTTCTTAAGATTGTTGACTTTAAACCACTTGCACCTCACCTACATCTGTTGGTTCGGATCAGTGACTTTCAATTATTTTAGGTGAGGGGGCTATCAAAATTACTTTATATATCGTCGATGGTTCTACTTCTAATGAGGTGCCCGTTTGTGCCTGAGATAATGCATGGGGGCACCTGTGATATTTTTTCACCATAATGTCTGGAGAGTGGCCAGACCTATACAAGGTCGAAGCGTCTCTTATACCAACATAAAGACACAGTTTATGATATAATTTTGTTTATTTTCTTTGTTTGTCTGTTTGTTTTTGATTTTGTTTATCTAAAGTTATGAGCATGAAATAGATCGGTGAAGACTTCGGCGAAGACTTAAGGCATTTTTAGGTATCTCTAAATTTTTTGTTGTACTTACTTCACCAGCATAGCAGTCTACAACCTTGTTGCATATCCGAGGCTTAGGAATATCTTTGCACTGCAAACATGTCAGACTTTCAACTGAATAAACACATTAATATTTTGATAAAAATCTATATCTAATAGATATATGTCGTAAAGACGACGTTACGTTAGCGGGAACGGTAGGCAGACAACGTAACGTTGGCGGGAAGAAGAGTTCATACGACGTCATTTCCGTTGTATTGTTATTTTACCGTTAATAAACATTATCATTTTAGACACAACGCAAAGTAGTTGCTTCTTATTTCACTGACCACTTTTACAATATACTTATTAAAAGATACCAATTTTCTTGACATTCAGTTTTTTCAAAGTTTCAATCATGGAAAATGTTGGGGTTGCTTTTACTGAGAGGAAAGGGGAAAATGTTGTAGGTTGATAGCGTACAATTTTCTACATAATATTAAAATAGCATGAAATAATCACTGTGGCGAAAATTGCCGTCTTAAGCCATGCTTGAATTGTAAACGTTATTACATAAACGAATTGAAGCAGACAAAAAAAGTATTTTAACATACCTCTATGCATTGCCAAAATCACCGTAGCAATGAACAGACAGACTTTCATTCTGGCTTTTCCTACCTGAATTGTAAATGAAACGACATTTCAAGAGTTTATTGCTGTATTTTATGCTCTTGTTTCACATTCATGATATATCCAAAACTAATTTAGCAGTCTCTTATCAGTTTTCAAGTGCACCAGTTAACTATTGTAATTTAGGTCATACTTATATGTAAAATATTTGCGATGTATACTTAAAGAGAAATAGATCTAACAATATTCATAAATTATATCATTGCTACATCAAATTGACTTTTTAAAAATATACATTCGTATAGCACAAAACACTGCTTAATTAGTCTACAAAAATTTTGAATCTTTATTTAATGTAAAAAGAAAGCTCACAAACGCATACATACATACATACATACATACATACATACATACATACATACATACATACATACATACATACATACATACATACATACATACATACATACATACATACATACATACATACATACATACATACATACATACATACATACATACATGTGCATACATACATGCATACATGTACATATGCAAGACACATTCATATGCAATAAACAGACATATGAAATGCACAGACATATAAATGAATAGGAAAAGTAAAATTGAAAAACATATTAAGACACAGAAATAATACAATATACAAACATACAATACAGAGACATATAAAATACACACACGCATATAATAAACATATTTATAAATACACAAACATATAAATACACAGGAATATACAATTAACAGGCGTATACATATACAGACCTTATACAATACACAGGCATAGTACAATGCACAAACATAATACAATACACAGAAATATAAATACAGATATATACAATACACAGATGTATACAATTCACGTGTATTAAGTTTATGCATTAAGTTATATGTTATATATAAGATATGCGATATTTCAAGTATAATACTACTATCTTCATTGTAAATTAATTTACACAAATATAATTCTGAAACAATTAATTAAGAATTAAAATAACGAGAATAATGGAAACAATGTTAGCCGCTCTGCAGTCTTAAGTTGTAATTAAAAATAATATTTATTGAAGGAAAGTACTTGTCATTAATGAAACTATATAAGGTTTAAATTTTTGAAAAAGTCATCGAAAATAATTACCTTCAGCCACAGTTTTAAAACCTTGGTCTCTGAAACGCTCCGGTATAATTGCCCTTTATACGAGGATTGGTAACTTCAACGTAAAAGCGGTCACCTAGCTAGGCAGTAAAGGTATTTTATCTTTTAAACACTTTTTGTACCGCACGGCAAGTGGGGCATATTTGGACACTTACATTACAAAACTACAAACAAAGATTAAACATCCAAGATATTATAATTAACAAAAACATTTTTTGGTAGTGACCCTATTTATGAGGCGCGATATTCGTTCTATTTTAGCTTCAACCTTTTTCGTTCAATTTATCAGCTTTATCTAGTTTAACAAGTATTTTGATAGTTTTATGTTATGATACTTCAAACTTTTGTAAAATATTTGCTATGCTCATAAAATATTTGTATTAGAAATCTAGGACACTATTACTGAATACATCTAGTCTGAATAAGCAAATGCACAAAACATGTTAATGAAGCTGCATTTCCTTATACTGGTCGAGCTAATTTAGTCCATTCTTAAAATTTGACAGCTTTTCGTTACGTTTTACTGACTTTAAGTACGTATTTTTACTGTGTTTATAGTGTTTAGTGTTTAAAACACGTAACATATTTTGTATGTGTACTTAATAGATGCTGATACATGTAGTTATATTTCGAAACAAAAGAGACTGTGTTGCAACGTTCAGTATTTTGCCAATATCAAATTTGAGCATGATATAGCTTTAACTAGTGGTTTAATTTTCCGATGAAACTCTAATTAATCAGGATTACCTTTCTAAACGTTATTACCGATTCAACTGCTATACATTTAACAAATATTTAAATTTAAGCTTTGTATAAACATATGTATCTCTTGTATCAAGATTCATTTGAATTCTAAATTGATACTTAAATCCTTTTTATATTAAGTTAAAAGTCCATTGTCAATTGTAATGCAAGAAATATAAACGTTTAGAAAGATAAATAACAGTCCAAAACAGTGCAATACCTTACACAATTTACGTTGTAATTGCATTCACCAAATATCTTACTCATATCATACAAGATAAATTATTTGTGTTATTAGTTCTGGTATAAATTTATTCATTAGTTTGAGACAATTGGGAATTATCTGTCCGGTCTTACGATTTAAAGTAAACTATCTGGTTTATGATAAAATGTAGCTACGGGAATTAACGAGGTTAAATAAAATTCACACGACCTGTTAGTGTGTAATGTTACATAACGATAAGACAAATGATGCTAACACATATTCTTAATTCAGGTTTCATATTTTAATTTACATATCACATTTAGCAATGGGTCTTTACTAGAAATAAAAAACGTATCTGGCGATCTTTCAAGCTGCCTTGTTTTTATCTAGATAAAACGTGTATATAGAATACTTCGTACAAATGAATTTGTAATATCATACATTTTCAATTTAATATGAATAAGGCAAAGCGAGCTCTTTGACAGAATATGTCATATATGTAAGTGTTATTACCATATTAATTAAACCCTTCGCGAGCACATTACTAGGGACTCTATACACTTAGAACTGCGCATCACTACTACGCACGATTTTTTTATATTCAAATACCGCCATTTTATGTTTTATATGCTATCTAAATTGTATCCATCCTAACATTAGTTTGCTGATTATGTAAAACAAATTTCGGGATTATTAATTCCATTTCGTGAAAACAGCACCCATCGTAAGATTTTCAGTGACATCTTAAATTGCTTTGTTCTGATAAATTCAGTATTGTCAATAGAGAAAATGCATAATACCTCAAATCCATATTGTTTGTAATGTTTTCTCCAGATTTGATCCGAAATGTGTTTTTATATTCTAGAATTTTTCTTATTATTAGTTAAAATTATTTTATACAGTGTTATGTATTAATGTTTTATTTTAGATGAATGTGTTATTGAATATTGGTGAAGAGGCTGCATGTTCTCATTAATATAACTTTATTTCACCTTCGAGTTGTTGTAAGAAATGGATAAAACTTGTTGACTAAGTTAAGATAAATGTATACAAACACTCATTTTCCTTGATATTTGAAATTGCTTTTACAAGATAAACTCATATATTAGTGTAACATTCACTAGTATAGCATTTATCTACACTATCTTCAATTACCTGTGACGAAAAATGTAATAAAAACATTTTCAAACTATTTCACATTATAACAAAAATTAATAGGTAACCTTTTTTATATTCATGCTGTAATTGTATGTGTGCCATAACATAGCATTTATCAGATGTTATTATGTTTAACACATTTCTTCTTCTTTTTTTAAAAAATTATTCCTGTGTCTTCAGTTTATTTAAAATTTAAGTCATGACAGATATAGGAGTCTTTTATTTCTATGACAAAGCAGATAGAAAGTTGACGTAAATATTTAATCCATCGTTGTTTGTGTTTTGCTATAATTATTTTTTATCTGACTGGCGGTTCTATTATTAAATTTATTCTTTAAGGGCTGCAAATAATTTTAATTATTTACACGTTTACTACTTAATATTTCAAATACTGTTTTATGTAAAAATTGTTTACCCTTCTTTGTGATGCGATGAAAGCATGTGACGTGAACGCATGTCCCTGTGATTATATCCTCTAGTAAGTGCTTCTCCTCAGTTAATGTACACATAGATCGCAGTAAAAAGCCGATGCTCTTTTTTTATCTCAATATGTTTAAAAACGCCTGGTCCTCACGGCGACAGTTTTCGTTTTCATCTCTACCATTACCCAGTCCATGTCGTTTTCACAGCGCCCTGGGTCGTCCTGGAAATGTGGAACTGTCAAATGTTTTATGTGATAAGGTAGTAAATATTGTAGTTATTTGGTAGTCCTGCTTGTATATTTAGACATTTGATACAGCAAAAACGAATCTGATTAAGATTCAGTATTGCAAGACCATTCCGGGAAATAAATGAAAATAATATAATTATATACCACTGATTTGATCATTTTTATTCACTCATATGAGGAAACTTGCAAGTGACAATATATCAGGGTATATAAAGAGAACATGTGTCTTTATAACAAATATCTGGATAGCTTACCGAAAACTTTTGATTTTTCTTCATAAACAATATGCCTTTAAGTGAAAATCAACGAAATTGACAAAAAGAATGATAATTAAAATCATATTATCAATCATTTAGAGACACCAGAACAGGTTGCGACAGCTGGAGACAATTACTGTTATGGGACTGGAGGATAAACAACACATCTGTCAAACTATCAGAAAACAATATGCCAAATGAAATTTCTGAATAACAACTGTATCACTTTGATGTGTCTCATTTATAATGTGAGGTTGAAATGGTAAGGTTTAATTGAAAAATGTCAAACATTCCGCATTAAAAAATATAACGCATGCACAGTTTGTTAAAAAAAAAACTTGAAAAAAATGAAGGAAAAGTAAAAACATTGCTGAATAATATACATGGTTTTGCGATAAATGATTTATTTTGCGTATTTGTATTTCTTGACTTATTTAATAAGGTCTATATTTGCATATTTTGACCTCTTTTTGGTAATTTACGTGGATGAAAGTGTCGTGTCCAATTTGTAAATTAGCTTCTTTATTTATTTTACAGTCTACCTTAACAAAAATCATATTATCCTAGAACTAACATGAATCTTGAAGGAACTGCTTTAAAAGTAAATAAGAAACACATAAAAACTCGTATGGGCTAGTGTTGTAACAAACCTAAAGCACATGAAGAAGTAACATCCTCTTAGAAGACTGATTTCCGACTGTGTACCATTGATTTCGGCTAATGGCGGAAATGAATAACAAAACAATGTCTTAGCTCGCGAGTAAGAAAATAAAACGCCTATCTCTGAGATTTTTTTATTTCGATTATATAACGCTTTTGATGTCTTATTTGAGAAAAAAAGATATCAAAAGACTAGTCCTTTCAAGTGTATCTTTTAAATATAAACATATTTCTCTAAAACTGTCAAACCCACTTAGTAGATACACAACTAAATAAAGAACATTGTTAAATAGAATCACAGATAGGACATTTTGTTAACCCAGACACTGAAGAAATATTTTGGATGTTTTTTTAGGTTCAGATATTCATTTAAATTATACATACAATGTATATTGTTTACCAATGAATCATATTCATTGTAAAAAATACACAATATGTTTTTAATACAGGCATTGAAGATGTTCTAACGACAAGATTTGTGTTAATAATAATCGTAAATAAATTTTCTGCCATTGTCAGTCAAATAATAACATATGTCAGTCGTTCTTATATATCTTCAAGATAAACACTGGTAAAATATGTGAATTGTTATTGTGATACCTAGGAAATATTTATATGATAAGCTTATATTATATACGTATTATCATTTAAAATATTTCATTAAATATTTGAATAATTCTTTTTTTAAATTTTAGATTTCGTCGCCTGAAAACTGTAATGTTCTATCTCCAAATTTTCCAAAAACAAGTTACATTGTAAATACACAATTGTGTCCGTAATGGACTGTTCTATCTCCTTGGCATGTTATAGTGCTTCAGAGCTTCTTAATTAAAATACAACGAAACCATCCTGTTCTATCTCCACAAATTTACTATGTCTTGATAAATAGACTGTTCTAACTTACTAGACTAATCATATTATCGATAAATGTCACGTGACTTGTGGGATATATGCAACATACTGTTCTTAATCCAAAATTATCGTATCAAAACATAGCATCAAATCACGTGATAGCAGGACACCGCCATGTTGTACGAAACATTTTGAGTAAGATGGTTTGTTGTTTATTTAATATATTAATACTAAATATAAGTATTGAATGATATTTTGTATTCATTTATTCCCTTCAATCATTGACATTTTAGTATTAAGTCATGTAAATTGTCTGCATGTGATTAAACAACAAACAAAACTGATCATGATTTGAATGTAATTTCGGATGTGTATTTTCGGATAGAAACATCTGTGATCATACAATTTTATCAAAAAAATTCGCAAAAAAGAAAATTTATTATATGTTCTAAAGTTTCTTTAACGTTAGGTACATTCTGTCTCAGAAACAAATTATTTATCTTTATAACAGACACATATGAGTTTAAAAAAATGACTGTACTCATTACCAATATAAAACAAAAGCATAAGATGGTTTATGTTACTGACCAATGTGGAATATTTTGACAACTATAACAGAACTCCAAATATCAGGCTTTTGAGAGATTAAGATAAAAGCATTTCTGGGGCAAAAAAGGCCTTTAAGAAAATTTATAGATATTATACGTTTACATATAATATATGTTTTCGAATGCGTTAATGTTATATAACTAATAGATTGCTTTAAAGTAAACACATTTTATACCAAAGACAGAAGAAAGAAAAATATTTTTATACGTATATTTTGTTTGACTTGTAATTTGACTTTGAATTTCTAAATGAATGTTTATATAGCATTATGTTTGTAATTTTTTTGTACACGAACAATTTTTAAATATGACATTTTTCAAATATAAGTCATGTCTGCTCCACCTTTAAGGTCTTTTCTAGCAGATATGTTTGCATTGCCTACTTAAGTTATAGAAACATTTTTTTTTTACATACCTTCAATTATAAGAACTTCTTACCAACACACAGAACGTGTAAAGCGCATAACAAAATAATTACTACTATTTCATACTTTTGGAAGGAATTTGAATTTGACCATCTTTTGAATTTTCATAAAAAAATATCTTTAAAGATTTTCCCAGCATTCTAGAAAATTTGAAAGTTTTCTTTTCCCGTTTGCGGTTATAACTTTCTTTTTCTAGACATTGAATCCTTTTGAATGTGGCCAAAGTTATAAAAATAGATGAAATGTCTTCAAAATTTATGTGGGTATTATATCTTTATTTATTCAAATTATTTGTTTAAATGTCATTTAATAATGTAATGGATTTAAGGATTTTAATAAGATTTCGAATGTCATAGTTCATGTAGTTAGATACATATGGTCTAAGAAATAGTGTAGTGTCAAAGTCAACTAATCAAGGGATAATTAGCAGAGAGCATTTTTGGCAGCTTTTTAAAGATAAAACATACTGTTGTATATGATATAAATCAATTCAACTTAAAAGACATAATGTTCTAAGTCACATTGAACACTCTGATTTTAACAATTTTTGAAAAAAAGTAACAAGGACTGTTCTATCTCCAAATGTTTTGTTAGGTTTTTAAGCAAAGAAATATTAAAATCCACATGTCTTTAACGATATTGAGTTGTTCTCCTGAGACCACGTTTAGTAGTTTTTAAATTTTCAAAATCCGACAATAAATAAAAAAGTAATGCAATACTAAATCTTTACTGGTTGGCGACCACCAAATCCGGACGACCATCAAACCCGGACGGTTCATTAAACGCTTGATTTCGTTGTTTTCTTCGATCAGTTGTTGTCGATCAATCAAACGCTTGTTTTTGACCAACATCAGAAAGTAGCAGTGTTTGTTTGTAAGTATTTGTTACAAAATAATCGTTTTAATTTTCCAAATTTCACTTCCGTGTTTATCATCGTGGGGGAAGTTGAAAAATGTCCAATGCGCATGCGCAGAATTTTAGCCCCTTCCTATGTGAGGCCCGTCTGCAGTATCACCGATAAATTTATGTCGGCAGACGATAATATCAAACTTTATTTTCGCCGAAAGAAAACTTTTTAAAATGTTATGTCATAAAAGTTTTGACATATTTACACAAAAATATCGTAAAAATATGAAAAATAATTGAAAATTTACATTTTTCATGGAAAAACTACGCTCGATTTTTAAATCTAAGGGAGGCAACTCGTACGAACGTATCGAGTCGGAAAATTGCAGATTTGTCTCCCTTACAAATAACCACTTAGTTATAGAGTCTTTTTGCTGCGTGTAAAGAAAAAATAGAAAAAAATATATAATTTGAGTTATTTATGTTGATTTTTTTTATTCATCGATTTTTTAACAGATTAAGACTCTTCTTAAGCTTTCAAATACACATACCAATCTGTTCCCTGAAATATTTTAAATCTTGCTCAATGCACAGATATATTATATTTAGCTCCATGCTCAATGAAGACCGACTTCTATCGAACGCAAGGGACTGTTAACCTTTCGATCTGTTAATCACTGGGCCATGCTTCAATGTTCAAGCTTTAAATACAAAAGGGTTGTTATTACGCATATTAAGATAATGAAAAGACACAGAAGTTGAAAGTATGCCTATGCGTTGTGCAATATATAAGAAATTCAAACCAAATGTTCATATCTTTCAGAAAATGCAGGCAAACTACTCACCAGGACAATTGAAGAAGGCTTTATCTGCTGTTCGACAGAAGAAACAGCCGATCAGGACTGCAGCCCGGGAGTTTGGGATACCTAAAAGCACTCTGTATGACAGGTTACAGGAGAGACCATTGGACAGCTGCAGCCGGAAGAAGCTCCCGAGGCTGTTGACTGTAGAAGAGGAAGGGGCCCTGGTAGAATTTGTACTTTACATGGGTGGTCAGGGCTTCCCCATGACTAGGACCATGATTCGTGTGTATGTGCGGGAGATTTTACGTAGAACAGGTAACATTCAATTAACTATTAAATTCTGATATGATAGGCATGCATATAATTAACTAATTTCATGGAAGATTTAACAAATGTAGCAACTACTAGTATATAGATTTGTAAATGCAAAACTTTGTTAAACCTAACATTTCTGCGTCTTTTCATTTGCTCACACATGACCGAGATATTGCAATTCTAACAATTATCTTGTTTTTTTACAGGACGTGTGTCCCTCATTTGCATGGAAACTGGACCGTCTGATAAGTGGTTCCGAGGTTTCCTCGCCAGACACCAACAACTGTCGGAGAGAACCCCGGAAAACCTGGACAAGTCTAGAGCGAGAATGTCTAGTCAATATACAATGGACGGCTGGTTTGAGCTCCTTAAGAAAGTTTTGAGGGACAAGAAGCTCGAGAACAAGGAAGGACAGGTACCTTTATACCAAGTTTTACTCTTGATAAATGTTTTCAATCTATGAAATATATTGAATTTTCTTGGGAAAAAATATCAAATATTTTCTACATCATTTCTTATGAAGTAAAAACTTTTTTAATTACAGATTTTCAATGTAGATGAAGTGGGTTGGTCTGGGAAGGAGAGAAAGAAGGTGAAAGTGTTTGGACAGAAAGGAGCCCACTGCTTTGCGGCCAACAATATCACATCATGTGAACATGTGACGGTGAACATGTGTATTTGCGCAGATGGCAGAATACTACCGCCAATGATAATATATAAAGTAAAACATACATTATATAATTTACATGAATATTGTCACGTTATATACATTAATTATGCTATAATTTGTTCTAAACACGTCGTCTCCATAACATTGTACAAATGAGTATTTTTAAGTGAGTCTTATTAAGCAATCGAGTATACGCTGCAAATTTATACAGAGCTCGTAATAATGAATATATTTTCATTACAACACAGTACAATCATATGCCGCTTTCTTCTAGATAATAGTTCATGCGTGTCTACTGGATTTCAATATTACAGGAATCGTTACCACACAGGTCCATGCATGACGGAATACCTGGAAGTTGGCTGTACGGCAAGAGCGAGAACGGCTACATGGACGGTGACCTGTTTCTGACGTGGTTTAAAGAAATATTTCTGATTAACTGCGGCAGGGAGAGGCCCGTCCTGTTAGTCATGGACAACCATGATAGCCATGTTACATTGCCATTGGTGGAGACTGCCCGTTTAAATGATGTTGTACTGCTCGGGTTGCCTGCCCACACAACGCACATTCTTCAACTATGGATGTAAAAGTAAGTACATGCACATGCAATTACATAAAAGATTTTTTTTCGTCGAGACTTGCATTAGAAAAGATACGTGATAATATAATTAAATTGTATTATATTATTTTATGTACTTGTTACCTTATATATTGGGAAGGTTTAGAGCAAGTATGTACATATTCTTAAACATATTTATATAATATATACAAAATTAGTTTCGTTTTTTTATTTTAAACCTTTGAGTTACACTTTACGTATATCTGTAAGGAATGATCTGATATTTTGAAGGTAAATGGACCACTGAAGACCAGATTCAGTAATCTGGCGACGCATCTGGGCTTCGCCAACCCAAGCCTGTCAATAGGAAGAGCGAGATTTCCTGTAGTTCTGCGTGACGCAATAGACCAGACGACACCCTCCTCAGTTAGACAGGCGTTTGTGGCTACCGGCATAGTGCCATATAACCCGCAAGCTATAGATAAATCACAATTAGTTCCAGCAACTTTTACTAAAACAAATGAACAGAGTATGTATTTACTGTTTATCGTTTACTTATTTTAACAGTAAAACGCGTAATGCATGTTATTTAATTTGTTTAAGATTTCAAACATTTATTTAAAAAGTTCCATTAGTTCACTTTTGAAGTAATTCGTTCGTTGTCCGTTTTCTTGTCACACTTACCATTAAGTTTTTATCAAGGTAAACAACATTCCTTAGATAGCTTTTAACCAAACATTTAAATGATTGTTCAGTTCCGCGGCAAAGTCAATACATTCGTCTCTTTTGTAAAGAACATATTTTTAAGAGGAAAAAATATATATCAAATCCTTTAGTGGATCAAGGGGTCATACCGCAGTCAATGGCGCAGGTGTTGGTGCCACCGCCACAAAAAACAACGGGAAAATCAAAATCTTCACGAATTGTGACCGAGGGTCGGGTTATAAGTGGCGATGAAATGTTTAAAAAATTAGAAGTAAATTCACTAGAAATATATCTGCTTTTGTACATCCAACTTAAGTATATTATGAAACCACACACGTACTTTTTTGACGCTACTTAAACCCTTTTGTCGTCCATTATATACCTTTACTCTGTTTAATAAAAATCAAACATGAAACAAAATTATTTTTGAATTTCTAATAATTTTGTTTCATCTCTATTTCAACAGTTATTCTGTTCTTATTTTCAGGAGAAGGAGGAGGTCATGCGACGCCAGATGGAGGAAAAGGAGGAGAGGTTGAGGTTAAAAGAACAAAGGAAACAGCAGAAAGAAAAAGAAGAAGAAGAGAAAGTTGAGAAGAAGAAACGACGGGAGGAAGAAAAGAAAAAGAAGGAACAAGAACTTAAGGAGGAGCGAATGAAGAAGGCTGTTGGGGGAACGCTTAGCACATAAACGTTTTAGCCTGTGCTGTGTGTGGGGAGAGAGGGCGTGTGAATGACGAAGTGAATGGAGTTATGTGGTATGGGTGCGATGATGTATGTGTGGGCGTTGGTATCATGAGGAAGTGCTTGGGGTCAGAGTGAGAATGAGTATCTGAAGGAGAGTGAAAGTGATGATTTGCCTTGGTATTGGCCGTATGTAAACCGTGGTTTATGAGGAAGAGTAAGAGTACGAGAAATTGTGATGTTAAGATTATGTCTGAATGTATTTCTTGATGTTTTTTAGTTATTTCATAAATTTGTGTTTATAGAGTTTGTTTTAGTTATAAGTAATCAAAAATGATTGAAATAAATGGAGAATGTTAATATGCAAGATTAGTTTGTTAATTTTAATTTGTCTGCGCGCTTACCAGTAAACAATGTATATACAGTTGTATATAGGAAAATTATATATATCTACATTGTTTGATAGGATACACCAGTGTAATCTATTCAAAAACATAAGCCAGATAATTTAAGCTAAGAATAGCTGTTGCGTTATGGTGAGTTCATTGTCAACGAATTGTAGAATGTTAACCACAAACGAGCATGAGTTAAATTTAACTGTTCATTGAAAACACTCGATTCTGGCAGAAAGAAAGCGTTTCACATTCTTAAATAGGGCCTAGTTGTTAAACATTCATAAGACTCTTTTAAGCACGATAAAAGTCTCGTTTCTTCTTTAATCTAAATAGACTATTATACAGTGTCACTCTTTTAAGATCCTAAAATAATAAAATTGATTTCTTTCGTTCTTTAGAAAATTACTAAGTTTACATCACTTAAGACAAGGTTGACGTCAAAATATTTACGTCAAGAGCTCAATACCTTACCTCCTAAACTAGCTTATAACGATTTCAAAATTTAATAATAAAATTCTCAAATTTCGGCAATTGCCGCCGGAATATTGCTTATGCGAACAGTATTGTTTTAAAACCATACAAGCCATTACTTTGGCTAAATTATAGCTATATACTGCCTGTCCGGACACATGGTACTGTAGTCTGGATAATTTTGACACTTTGGTACACCCCGCACGGGCCTCATACACGAATGTCTACGTAATCAGAAGTAAACAAACCAGCTCTTCAGTTTAGCGAAGAACCTAGCTGTATTGTGTTAAAATTTCAGGTATCTAGCTTTAAAAATGTGAAAAATATATGGAAAAATGTTTAAAAAGTGTCCGGTTGATGGTCGCCAACCAGTACATGCTTTTTTTCTCAAAAACAACAAATTGGCACTTAGAACAAAACGTTTTTCAAGCGACGATTTGATTAAAAAATTTATTTGTTTTATTTAGAAGAACAATATATACAATAAACATATAGTTGGGAATCGCCCTCAACCCGCTGTAGCTCTAATTTATTGGCGTTTTTTGTTTTGTTTAACGTAAGTATTGTGTACTTTTGGGGTTCTGCAAAACATTTACTTTCGCTCAATGTAACTTTTAAGGAAAAATTATTACTTTTCAAAAATTTAGCTTTTTTAGTATCCATTTTTGTGCAGTGAAATAAATCATATAAAACTCGAAAATGTTTTTTTAAGTTTTAAAAGATTTACGAAGTAGTTTTTACTCGCTAAAAAAAAAGTTAATTGTTTTTTTAAAATACAAAACAAAAAACATAATTTGATAAGCAAATTTTTTGTAGATTTTAAATGTCAACACTTATTCTTTTAAACAAAGAATTTTTTTTTGTTATGGGCTAAAGAAAGACTTTGCCTTCAGTGTTGAAAACAGTTTTCATTTTTTCGGGGGATCATCCCTATTATTTTTACTTTAACAGCATTTCTTCTGTAAAGTGATTTTGGCAGCGGAGAAAGTCGCACCTATTTTTGTGAGTAATGTTATAAGATTTTTTCTTGCTTTTTGTGTCGTTTGTTTGAACACTGAATACCTATTTTGAACTCGGCTTAAGACGGTACTACGGGGGCTTATGACATGTTGCATTTTAACAAAATTTTACATTGTACTTACTAACTCAAGCAGAGTCTGCAATGTTCGTGCAATATTGTTTTTAACTTCTCATTGCGTCCGATAACTACAAATTCCGGCTTTTTATGGGAAAAACAATGCATAACAGACATATCTTGAGGAAATGTTTAATATAATTGAGTTTATAAAAATAACTTGAATACTGCTGACACACAAATAAACCTTTACATACATTCGTATATATTTACTGATCATCCATTCCAATGTTTAATCAACAATTTTATTTTCGACTGTGCCTCATCCGACAACTGGTTCAGTAAAAATACATGTGTTTATATTGTGTATTTGTTAAAACACACATGCTGGACTTAATAACAGCAATATGTATATTATCACCATACAAATTTTATTATCAAACATCTCGTATGTCAGGAAATAATGTCTTATGTTGTTATTTCAATAATAATACAGATTAGGTTATAAATGGTAAAATTTTTATTGTTATAAGGATTAGTCCTGTACAACATTCCAGTGCAAAGCTTGGAAGTATTGACTCAGGTAGGTGCAGTACCTAGAGTAACAAACACTTACCAAAGGTATATTATCAATATCTTTCATCTTATCACAACAATTATCAGATTGGATAACAATAGGCATAAAAACTTTACAATACATACAATGTATCGTTAGTATATATAATTAAAGATCACTGACAAACTACTTTATATATCAATCTTTTTACGATTGTATGGGATTTGCAACAAATCAGTGGTGCATAACAGACTTCAGTTTTCTTAACTGACATAACAGAAAATATATAACAGTGTATAACTAGATTTTGCATAGTAGATGAAGCTTTTGCATCGACTGCAGCAAATTGGTATTGTGATTTAAAGTACGAATACATTCATATTTCCCTACAGGTTCAAATATTGATTACGCTAATAAAGAACTGTATCAAAATTTAAAAGAAACTCAACACTGAAAAGCAATGCAGTGATCATAGGGTGAAAAACATTTGAAAAGTTAATATAAAATTATACAGTGTAACATTTTCAGTGAAGTTTGAATAGCTCCATTCTTATATAGACCTTTTTACGACGCGATCCAGTGCTATGAAAAATCGACTGTTGGTAGTATTTCCCCGCACATGACCAATCTGCGTAAGGCAAAAAAGCATAGTCTAACATAAAAACATAGAAGAAGTTCATAAACAATTTAGAGTTAGTTTAAGATTAAGGTAGAACTTATAAGAAATAGCCTTAAACAAATAGAATAGATCTTTTTTTTT